CCTTGGCGGAAGTTTTTGTTATTATCATTATCATTGTTGTTCTTGTTATCATTATTATTATCATTATTATCATTGCTGTTATTATTATTATTATCATCATCATTGTTGTTATTATTATTATTATTATCATTATTACTGTTATTATTACATTATTAATATCGTTATTATCATTATTATAGTTATCATTGTTATTGTTATCATGATTCTCATTATTATTATTATTATTATTATCATCATGATTATCATCATTATCAACATTGTTATTACCATTATTATTATAATTATTATTATTATGAATACCATTATTATTATTATTATCATTATTATCATTATTTATATCATTATTATTATTATTACTATTATTATTATCATTTTTATCATCATCATCGTTAGTATTATTATCATTAGTATTATTACTATTGTTTTCTTATTATCATCATCATCATCATCATCATCATCATCATCATATCATCATCATCATCATCACCAATGTCATCATCATCGTTATTCTTATTCTTTATCCTGATATTGTTATTATTATTATTATTATTATCATCAGTTAGTAGTAGTAGTAGTAGTAGTAGTAGTAGTAGTAGTAGTAGTAGTACTGTTATCATCATCATCATCATTAGTAGTAGTAGTATCAACATTATTACTACTATTATCATTATTAGAATCATTATTATTATTAAAAATTTCATTTTTGTTATTATTATTACCATTATTATTATTATTATTATTATTATTATTATTATTATTATTTTATTATTATTATTCTATTATTATTATTATTATTATTATTATTATTATAGTTTTTACATTTTTTGTTTTCATCATAATTCATATTCTATTCAATATTCTCAAAGAAAAACTTGCCCTTTGGAAAATCTTCACCCTTTTTCGCCTGTGGTTAAAAGGTATATAATAGAAACAAGCAATTAAGTCATAGCATGGAGCTAAACGAGCTTTTTTCGCACCCTTGCCTCCTGGAAGTGAGATTATGAGATCATATAAGGCCATTTAATTTCTCTCCTCTTTAGAGATGAAATTCTCTTGGTGTTTATTTTGCTGCAATTGCTAAAGTACTCTTTCGCAATTGCAGCAAAATTTACTCTTCATTATGCACTCTTCATTATTATGTACTCTTCATTTGCACTAAACGGTGGTATGTGCTGAATTGTTTTCTTTTTTATTGTTATTAACAGGAATGATATTGTCAGTGGTTTGGGCCAGGGGAAAAGAATAACAAAGAATTGGTTATTGTCACAACATGTAATTAATGTAAATAGTTTGCCTAAAGAAGGTAGAAAAAATCCTTTTTTAGTTTCCTTAGACACGTATATTTTGATAACCAAAGGCAATCTATCAAACACACACACACACACACACACAACCACACACACCACACACACACACACACACACACACACACACATACCTGCCGCTGAAGCCCCTAAACTCACCACCTTCCCCCCGCTCTCCGCAGCTACCACCTGACTGAAATTATGGCGACCGTCATCAACGAGTACACGGACTGGGAGCGGCCCGTGCGGCACCCGATCAGCACGCGAGACGAGACCCTGGCACTGCTCTCCGACGCCCTCTACTCGGCGCCCGTGCTCAACACCGGCAGCCTGCACGCCCTCTCCTCGCCGCACACCTTCCTCTACGTCTTCGACCACCAGACCAGGAACGGGGACTTCCAGCATGTAAGTTACAAGCGCATGGAATAACACCCCATGCACACGCACACAAATACGAATACATTCCATGCACACACACACAAATACAAACACATTCCATGCACACACACACAAATGCAAACACATCCCATGCACAAATACAAACACATTCCATGTACACACACACACAAATACAAACACATCTCATGCACACACACACACATACAAACACATCCCATGCACACACACACACACATACAAACACATCTCATGCACACACACACAAATCACAACACACCATACACACACACACTACAAACACATCTCATGCACACACACACAAATACAAACACATCCCATGCACACACACACACCTTACAAAACACATCACACCACACACACAATAAAAACACATCTCATGCACACACACACACATACAAACACATCCCATACACACACACACAAATACAAACACATCCCATACACACACACACACATACAAACACATCTCACACACACACACAATACAAAACACATCCCATACACACACACATACAAACACATCTCATGCACACACACACAAATACAAACACATCCCATGCACACACACACACACATACAAACACATCACATGACACCACACATACAAACACATCTCATGCACGACACACACAAATACAAAACACATCCATACACACACACACTACAAACACATCTCATGCACACACACCAATACAAACACATCCCATGCACACACACACACACACATACAAACACATCACATACACAAACACACACACATACAAACACATCCCATACACACACACTCAAATACAAATACAAATAATATTTTTCAATATTATAGTTTCCCTATATTTTTTGTCGTCTCTGTTGCATGGGGATAGAGGCTTACCTTAAAAATGGATTAATCAAATTATAATAATAACAATAGTAAATAATATAATGATAATAATCGTACTACTACTACTACTAATATTATTATTATCATTATTACTATTATTGCAAAATAATAATAAAATAATAATAAGTAATAACAATAATTGAAAACACTACTACTACTAATAATAATAAATGAAAAATAATTAAATCAATATTCCTTTTTTGAGCATTTATCAAAAGACAGTAAATGAATAAGAAAACATGATTTTTCACCACTAATGCCCAGTAAAGTACAATTGGTTCGTTTTATTATCATACAAACGCTTGTGAACAAAAGCTGGCCGGTCACTGATGTATTCGAGAAGCAACGTGGATACTGTAGCTACTTACAGGTAAATAGATAAGACTAGGAACTATTCAATTGTAAAACTACTTAACCCGCTTTCAATCTCTCCCGTTCGTTAGCGTGTCGGCTGCGTCCACGGGGAGGAGCTGGCTTACATGTGGGGGGCGCCCCTGGTGGAGTCGCTCTCCTACTTCCCCAGCAACTACACGCAGAGCGAGATCAAGCTGTCGGAAACCATGCTCAGCTACTGGACCAACTTCGCTAGAACGGGGCAAGTATAAACTGTCTTGGCTGGTGATACATACAAACATACACACACACACACACACACACACACATACACGTAAAAATTCAGGTATTGACTTGTCAAGATGGAAGAGTTTCAAAGACGATACATGTCCCGTTTCAGTGCTATGAAATGAACAATGAATTACCAATAGAGCCGAACAAAGCAAGAAAAAACAGTTCAGAATTAAACTTTACAAAATATACAAACTAAAAGGAAAAATCAAAGAAAAAAACATGGGAAGTATATACATTAGAAACAGGACAAGCACGTATACCGTAAATAGAGGAACAGGTAGTTACAATCACAGAATTGCACAGTAAACCTGTGTGGCTGTGGTTTGGTAATTCAGGTTGCATCTTATGGTTATGCAGAGACTCGGAGATTAAGAGGTCAATGTTAGATGTAGACAGAATTTTCAGCTGGCCCTCCTCCTGGTCTTGTGTATGGTCTCCGCAAAGCGCTCAAACCAGGAACGCCTCTCAGACCTATTATTTCATTTATTGGAACTTTTAGTTATAACTTAGCAGCTGAATTTCTTGTACAGATCCGGCCTTTATGTTCGTTTCATAACACTGAAGATGCAGACGTGTAACATCTTTGAAATGTTTGAAGAATAATGTTCATTACAGCACTAGTCAATACTTATATATATATATATATATATATATATATATATATATATATATATATATATATATATATATATATATATATATGTATATATATCCATTTATATATATATATATATATATATATATATATATATATATATATACATACCTACATTCATATATAGGTATACAGATATATAGATGGATAGATAGATATTTGTGTGTGTTTGTGTGTGTGTTTGTGTGTGTGTGTGTGTTTTTGTGTGCGCGTGTGTGTGTTTGTGTGTGTCTGTGTGTGTGTGTGTGTGTGTGTGTGTGTGGATGTATGCTTATAAGTGTGCGCGCGTCTATATTTGCGCTAGCGTGCTTGAGCTTCCACAGCATAAAAGGCTACTTTGTAAATATTTAACTAATTCCCTTTCGAGCAGCTTTGAAATATGCACGCGTGTGAATTAATTTTAATCTAATTTTCAAGATTTTCTTTTTAAGATTTATGACTAGAAAAAATAATAAACACGAGAGCGTATATCAAACAATGGTATGAAATGCATGACTTAATATTTTCTCACGTCTACCTTTTACAGGAATCCGAATGAACCAACGAATCAGATACAGGACCGAAGCGGCGAAAAGAACCGGTACAGGCTGATGGAGTGGCCAGTCTACGACGGGATGCACCGGAAGTACCTTGACATCGGTGAGAAAGAGAAGCTGTTGAAGAGGGTGACAGTGAGGGAGAGAGATGAGAGAGGAAGGGTGGGTGGAGAGAGAGGGGGAGGTAGTGGGTGGGAGTAGTTGTAGGATTGGGAATGGGGAAGCAGGAGAAGAAGGAGGAGGAGGGAGATTATTGGGGAGGGAAGAAAGTAAAGGTAAGGGATAGGTAGTAGGAGTTGGTGTGAGAGTGAGAGGCGGAGTGGGAATTGGAGTGGAAGTGGGAAAGAGGAGCAGGAGAAGAAGAGTAAGGAAGGAGGGAGGTTAAGAGGGAGAGAGGAAGGTAGAGGAAGTGGGCAAGGGACAGGTAGTAGGAGCTGGTGTGAGACTGGGAATAGATGAGGAAGGGGATAGAATGAGGGAGTGGAATTGAGAGCCGGAGAGAGAGAGTGAGCGAGGGCAGAGAGACAGGGAGAGAAAGAAGAAGGAAGAGAGAAAGAGGGTAGGAAAATAAAGATTTTAAATAAGAAATATGGATAAACTGAACTAGACGGAATAAGCGAGGGAAAAAATCAGGTTAAGACGAAAAGTGCTTAATGCTTATTGCATTTTCATTCTCTTTGTTGAGCTGAGCCTAAAATATTATTTCATTTTGTCATTTTTATTTTTTTTCTTCTCCATTCGTTTTTACATTTTTCCTTTCTATACACGTATGATCGCTTTGCTGATATTCACATAATCCTCAACTGGCGCGTTTACCCCCGTTTGCATAGGAATTTGTTCGCTATCGTGCGTTCCAGAGCACTAACTAGGATGAAACGTGATGCAAGATAAAAGCCAACAAGCAAAGCCGGGTACTTCAATTATTTTAGAATCCAAATACCCGTTTTTATCTATTAAAAATAATACAAACGCAAAATGGGTTATTCAATCTTTCCGCAGCTATATCTCGTCGCTTCAGAGGGCCTTTCCAGTTGCTTAAATTGATTCTTGTTAGGGAACATCGCAAGTGCCCTGCATGTGCGACTGAGGCGAATTCCCAAACACGAGCCACCTTATCTGGGGATCATCATAACGACAATAATGATTAGTAGTGAAACATAATACTAATGAAGATGACCATGATCATAATAATCATAAAAATAGTAATTGTAATGATGATGATAATGATAGTGATAATAATTATAATAGTAATAGTAAAAATATAATAATAGTAATAATAACAATAAATAAATAACAAAATACTAATAGTAATAGGTTATGATATGATAGTTATTATCATAGTAAAACGATAATAATAATAAAAACAATGAAAATAGTAAACGATTTTAGTGACGATGGTAAATACCATGATACTAATATTAAGAATGTTGCCATTAATATGATAAAAACCTGAATATGATAATTTTTATAATGATTATGATAATTATCACTAAAATGATAATTTTAATCATTTTAATTTTAATAATCATTATAAAAATCTAAATGATAATGTTATAATAATAATTATAAGGAAAATAATCATGATAATAGTAATAGTAATAATAATAATAATAATGGTAATAATGATAATGATAATAATGATAATAATTATCATTATTATTATTATTATTATTATTATTATTATTATTATTATTATTATTATTATTATTATTATTATTATTATCATCATCATCATCATATCATATTATTATTATTATTATTATTATTATTATAATGATAAGAGCAATAATAATTATAATAATGATAGTAATAATAACGAGAACAATAATAATAACGATAATAATAGTGATAATTACAATAATAACAACAACCATCATCATCACAGTTGTAATTATAATTACTATTATCATTATAAGCATTATAATTACTTATTTTTGTTATTATTACTATTGCTCTAATAATAGTAATAACAATAATGATAATAATAATTTTAATACTTGCAGTCATAATAAAATCATGAAAATATTGATCATGAGTTGTTGTTTTTTCATTATCATTGTTATTATTACTATAATTGTTATTATTGTAATGATGATGATGATGATCACCATCACCATCATTATTAACAAAGTGTTTCATCATAAAATGATGATAATATCAGTATTATTATTATTTTGATATTATTATTATCATTACTTTTATTATAATAATAATATTATTATTATCATTATCATTATTATTATTATCATTATTATTTTTACTATTATTATTATTGTTACTATTATTATTATTATTATTATTATTATCATTATTATTATTATTATTATTATTATTATTATTATTATTATTATTATTATCATTATTATCAATATCATTATTGTTATTATTTTCAGAATCATTATTATTATCATTATTAATTTCTTTAGTTATTTTTATTATCATAATTAATATTTTTTTTTTTTTTTTCTTTTATTACAATTACTATTATCATCATTATTACTTTCATTATCATTATTATTTTTATTATCATTATTAATATCATTATCATTATTGTTATTGTTATTATTATCATTATCATTATTATTGTTATTTTTATTATCAAAATCATTATTATTGTAAAGTTTGTTGCTGTTATTGTTATTATCATTGCTATGATTGTGATTGATATTATAAAAATATCTTTGTTATCGTTTTTATTATCGTTATTTTATTGCTATTATTATCATTATCGTTGTTGTTATTTCCATCAATACTATTATTTTATTATTATTATTATTATTATTATTATTATTATTATTATCACTATTATTTATTATCCTTATCATTATTTCTATGATTGTTATTTCTATCATTATTATTATTTTCATTGTATTTACTTTGCTTTTATCATCTTTATATTTCCTGTTGCTTTTGGACTTTTCAGTATTGTTTTTTAATGATATTGATAGAGAAAATGATAATAGTAATCAGTATTGTTATTATTATTATTATTATTATTATTATTATTATTATTATTATTGTTATTATTATTTATTATCCTTATCATTATTTCTATGATTGTTATTTTTATCATTATTATTATTTTCATTGTATTTACTTTGCTTTTATCATCTTTATATTTCCTGTTGCTTTTGGACTTTTCAGTATTGTTTTTTAATGATATTGATAGAGAAAATGATAATAGTAATCAGTATTGTTATTATTATTATTATTATTATTATTATTATTATTATTATTATTATTATATTATTATTATTATTATTATTATCCTCATTGTTATTGCTGTTGGTGGTGGTGGTATCCTAATTATCATTATTATTGTTATTAATATCATCGTTATTATAATTATAATTATTATAATTGAAATTATTGTTATTACTGGAATTATTTTAATAATAATCATCATCATTATAGTTATTATTATCATTTTTATTATTATCACTATTAATTTTGTTATTATTATCATTATTATTATTGTTGTTTTTAATGCCATCAGCATTATTGTTATTATCATCACCTTTTTATTACAATTATTACTAATCTTTATACTAATTATTATCATAAAATATTATTATTGTTATTATTATTGTCTTTTATTTTCATTATTACTCGTATTATCATTATTGTTTTTGTTGCTTTTTTTATTGCTATTATTCTTATCACTATCATTATCATAATTATTTATATATAGTTATTATCCTTATTCTTGCTGTAATTATTTTTATTATTTTCATCTTCACTGTCATTATTCTTATTACTATCATCCTTATAATCCTCATTACTGTCATTATTAGTAGTATTATCATAATTATTATTGTTATTATCATTATTATTCTGTTTTATCATCATCATCATTATTATCATTATTATCATTATCATATCATTATTATCACTGTTGTCATCATAATTATTTTTATTTCATGAGTCTACTTTTTTTTTATTCATGAATAATGTCCGTTCTTAGAAAGAAAACAGTTGGATATAATCATAATATATAGAGAGCAAAGCAGAGAGAGAGAGAGGTGGCGGCGAGGAGAGAGGGGGGGGAAGAGATAAAGAGAAAGAGAGAGAAAAAGAGAGGGAGAGAGAGGGGGGAGAGGAGAGAGAGGGGGGGGGGAGAGGAGACAGAGAGAGAGGAGGAGAGAGAGAGGAGGCGAGGAGAGAGAGAGGGGGGAAGAGGAGAGAGAGAGAGAGAGAGAGAGAGAGAAGAGAGAGAGAGAGAGAGGAGAGAGAGAGAGAGAGAGGAGAGAGAGAGAGAGAGAGAGAGGGGGGGGGGGAGATGCAGACAGGCAAATGGCAGAAGTATAAATGTACCTACAACTTTGATGGATAGTGTGAAATTATTATACAATTATCTGTTTTAGTTTTTTTCAGTAAAGTCTGAACAAAAGTGAAAATGTAATCTTGTCTTGTGGCAGTCGGGCCATAAGAGCGTGTACCTGTATGTATATTTCTTCCCGTGCTCAACGCCCTCTCACTTCTCAGGCTTGAAATCTCGAGTTCGCGACCACTACCGCTCCCACCAGCTGAGCTTCTGGCTGCAGTTGGTGCCGCAGCTGCACCGGGCTGGAAAGGACGCCCCTGAAGAGCACCACCACCTTGAAAACCACAACGACTGGAACTCCTACAGGGGATTCGTCCGATCCGAGCCCGTTACCAGGTACTTTCTCTGCGCCTCCTTTCAGTATGATTACTGGTGCTCTGCATCGAGAAGCTTTTGTGATAATTTCGTGTAACGCCTTTACAATTAGTGGGTAGAGAGAGGAGGGATGGAGAAAGACTACACAGGAGTTACTAACCAAGTTCATATTTTCCATCAGAGTAATTCTGCCTCCTGATACCACGACGGTGGCGACCACGACGCGCCAGTACAACGTGAGTGCGGTGCTGCAGCCGACGGCCTCGGGCTCCGACGCAAACAAGACGGGGAAGCAGAGCCACCCGTCCCTGAGCGACGGATTCGCCGCCTACTCCACGGCGCTGTCGGTCACCATCGCCATCGGCTGCTCGCTGCTCATCCTCAACGTCCTGATCTTCGCCGGCGTGTATTATCAGCGCGACAAGTCCCGGATGGAGGCCAAGAAGGTGGCCGAGAACGGCGGCCTTCTGGCCCCCGCCCACAGCATCAGTGGAGACGTACACACCCCGCCCACGCCCAGCCTAGCCGTCAAGGCGGAAGTAGCCGCCCGCATGTCGGCGGCGGGGATGAAGGCGCCCCCGTCGACGCCCATGGCCCAGGCTACCCACCTCCCGCCACCGGAGTTTGCCGATTACCCGAGCCAAGCAGCCCACTACGGCACGGCCCAGGGCGTGTCCCACCTGCACACTCTGCCCCGGGGCACGAGCAAGCACGTGACCTGCGAGGCACAGGGCATGCAGGGTGGGCAGGGCAGCCTGACCTTGAGCGTGCCGCGGGCCCCGCCCCCGCCGCGCGTCCCGTGCCACACCTCGGAGGCCCAGCCGCTCCTCAAGCAGACCTCCTTCACGCTCACCTCCCCCAGCACCAACACCTCCAAAAGCCCCTCCAAAGATTCCAACATAGGAGAGCTGCGGGTATAGCAACCCTAAGGGTGGCTTC